TATGAATTTCTTTTATAAAATCAAGGGCTCCATAAAACATGATCATAGCACACAAACCAAATTTATTTAGGTTAATTTGGTTATACATAAACTTTTCAATAGATCAGGTCGTCAAGAGCCTTTCAAGTTGCTTACCCATTTGCCCATTGGAAGAAATAACAATTCTTTTTTATTAATTTGTTAAGAAGACACCTTTGAAACTTCTTCCAAAATGTATTGTATAGTGTTGTAGCAAGTTGTAGTTTTTCAGCAATTTGAACTCCCTTGATCTGTTTCTTTGCTGCCATATTTTTTCCTACACATCCTTCCAAAATTTTTGGCAATAGGATAAGAAATTTCATAAAACTTATGAGCTTCATTAGAAAGATTATATAATAAATAATTCAAGCAATGAAATTCAACAACTTCCCTTTTTTAAACTTTTCCTCATGAACTTTCTTTTTGCTTATTTATCTCATTGATGAGATGCTCTTAGAACTTTTTCCCTCATCCATCAGTAGGCTACTCCAGTTATTGAGTTGATAATAGAAACTTGTAAGTTGAACTCCATCTTGATCTGGATCACCTTAAAATTGTTGTTCTACTAGAATAAAAATAAAAATGTCAAATAGAAAAATTAACATTTGTTATAGCAGTTATAAAATTAACTATAACAAAATCAAATATAACAAAATTGTAAATGATAATAAGATAATAATGAAAAATGATGTGGGTTGCCGTATAGATATTTCACTTTCTTTAAGATGATTCAAGCCACTACGAAAAAATTAACTCCGGTGCAGCAGAATCTCCAACTTGTTATCCCCCACATACAACAGCCTAGCCAACTTGCTATCACTCTCATTAGTCTGCACAACTAAGAGAGTATAGCTTTACTAACACTATTTTTACTTGCCAAATATGAGATAGTAATATAGAGAAGAACATATTATTTCTTTCTTCCAATTGTCAAAATATTATTAGAAATAGCTTCACCACTGTTAGTGGTGCTTTCTATCTCAAGGTACGCGCACACGTGCACACACAAACACACATATATATATCTTATACATATATATAAAGCGTGAATTGCTTATGAACAGTGGACAATGGACCGGTTATACTGCGGTTGTTATGACTTTGAGGGGCGTTTTGGGATTGGATGGCAATGGCTTTGCTGGAAATTCGCTTCTGTCCGCGTGGCTCTCTTCGATGGCAACATTTTGGCGGTCAGCAATTTCCTCTCATTCTCTTCTTCGTTTTGTTCTGTTCTGTTCTTAGCGTTCTTCGTTCTGTTCTGGTGAGTTGAGCTGAATCCAGTACGCGCCCTTTCAGAGTTTTGGGAGCTGCTACTTTTTCCTATTCTTTTGTCGGTCTTTTTCTTCTCGTTCTTTTCTTCACCTTGTTTACCAGCTGTGTCTTTCCCGTTCCTCATTCTTCTTCTTAGCTTTCTCTGGCCGGTGTTTTTTCCTTCCCTTGTTTTCCTATTGAATTTTCTATTAGATTGCAAATTAAGATCAGGGATTTTTTTTCATTCATAGATTAAACGTAATAGTTTCTGCAGAATTTAATGAGAAGTTGTTGATTTTTTTGAAGAAAAGGGGAGGCGGGGAATTTTGATGTATGGGGGATATGTGCAGAATAAAGAAAGAGAAGAGTGAGGAGAGTGTTTGGAGGAGGAGGAAGAACTGGGGTTTAAGGGGGCTAGGGTTAGGGTTAGGATTAGGTGGGGTGATGGGGTTGAAAGGTGGAAATATTATTCAACATAGTAGAGTAGAGAAGTTTAAAAATTCCATGGTTTCACGGTCGAAATGAAGCTATGGATGATAAGGGCTACTACATCTGTGATGTTGTGGAATTGCTTGGTTTAGTTAACGGCGTTGGGTGAAAGTTTTGGTCCTAGAATTTTGAAGGGATGGCCATCTTGCTTTTCTCAGGATTCTGGTTTTGGTTCTTCTGCCACTGTTACTGGTTCTGCTTCCGCTTTGGATGTTAAATCTGCCCCTGAAGATGTCCCTGCTCGAGTTCTTCCTCCCAAGAATGAGTATTACTACTTGATTGATTCTGTTTTTGCTCTTTGATTTTTATTTTTGGGCGCTGTATTGAATTTACTGTTTTGATGGTTGATGTTGATCGCTTTAAAAGATGGGAAGTAGAAGCTCATATTTTGGTGAATGTAAGCGGAAAGGATGGTGGATATGAGGTGGGTGTATTTGTGGTGTTCAGGGTGCTTTATAATGTAGAATCTAAGGGTCTTTGAATTTAGGAAAGTGGGGTTTAATTTCACACACCGATGGATGAAACGACTGACTTGGACTGCTGGTTGATTATTGAAAAGTTGAGAAGCATGCGGCAAGTTCCTGAGAGATTTGGTTGCTCCAAGCACTTGCAGAATTGAGAGTTTGCGGTGGTTGTTGATCTTTTGTTTTGTTTTGAAATGAAGTAATTGGTATCACAAACCTCTTAATTAGGTTGTTTTACTGCATCAGTGGATTTTGCTGCTTTCTCTATTTGCAGCGGTTAATCATAAATGTGTTGTTTGTTTTATTTGGAATAAGCATGGATCATTAATTTGTCCCTTCTTGGAATTGTATTTGGTATTTTGACTACTATTTTCCCCCACCTACAATCAGATTTGAAATTTGCACCTTTTGATGTAGGAGTTTACAAGAACAATGGTTATCTAATGGTTTCATGCAACGGAGGCCTTAACCAAATGCGGGCGGCGATTAGTAGCTTTCTTAATAATGTGGCTTGCATGTTTGAACTGGCTTATGACAGCAATTTTTGATAACCTATACTTTTCCTCTATGTTATTGGGGTACAGATATATGACATGGTCGCAATTGCCAGACATTTGAATGTGACGCTTATAGTTCCTGAGTTGGATAAAACTTCTTTCTGGGCAGATCCAAGGTCTCTTTCCTTGAACAAAATTATGGCTTTGTTCTTTTGTTATGACGGAGGGCTATCCTTTTTTTCCCTCCTCTGTACTGGATCTTTGTTATTTGATGTTGCAGTGAGTTTACTTGACGTTAAAGTTCGATTGAATAATTCTTTCTGCCCTCCAATTTTTCAAACTCATACTCATTATAATAAAATACCGGATCCAACCTACCTAACGCATAGCGTCAGGGCAGAATACCTAGTATATATATAATAGGTGATGAAAGTTAATAAAAAAACCATAAATTGCATAATATGCTAGATAATTTAAGAGTTATTGGCTATTCAAATTATATTTAAATTACAATTGTAGGCTACAAAATTTATTGCAATTGAAAACCTTAAAGTTCTCATAATAAAGATGAATTCATGAGTATTAGTCAAATGTAATAATTCCTAAAAAACCGTTACCATATTCTCTCCTTGTAACTTACGTAAAAATTGAATAGTTTATTAAAATACTACAGCACATAGAAATGAACCAAAATACCATCAATAGCACTCAACGTGTAAAAAGAATAAATTAACTTCCAAATTCGGTAATGCAAATATCAGTCATCGAGATCATGCAAAAATGGATTCTCGCATGGTTATGACAACAATCTAGAAAAATAGGTTTTTTTTTTCTTGTACAAACTGGTTTTGCTACTGAAAAAGCAATGGCACATTTGGGAGAATTATATGCACAAATGTATGTTCAACGCATCAACAGTATGTGGTCAATGGTGATGCTTCAAGAGTTCCAATTGTCAATGATTTTGATTTGGGTGCTATAGAGGCGCATTATTCATCCCCTTGGATCTCAAGTACAACATTTTGGAATTTCAGGAATTTGACCAAAAATCCTCCTTTAAGGCTTAGTTGCAACAATTCCTATTCAAAAAAAGTGGATGATTTGGACCGCTTTGAACGAGTTGAAATGGATAATAAGTATAATTGAGTCAACCCATTTATATTAATCTAATTAGATGGGTATAAATGGGTAAGTCAAAAAATGAGTTGGATAACCCATTACTCATTTATAATCCATTTATTTTAACTTTTTGTAAACTTATTTAAATTCATTTTTGCAAACTAAATTATCAAATTATATCACCCTTTGCACCTATCATTAGTTGTAAATGTTTACTTATAATGCTTAATAAGCCTAATTACCAATTTTTTCCTATTTGTGCTCTATGTCGTAAAATTACATACTATTTAATAATTGAACAATTGGAATATAAAAATTTGAACTAAGTACTATGAAAGTTAACATAAAACTTTATCCAAAAACTTTGAATTCCTAGCATTTTTTTCGCGTGCAAATGTAAAATTTCATTTTGGAAAGGTAGAAAAGGAGGCTAAAACTTGTCGTAAATTGGTAATGCTAAAAAACGAGCAAGTTAACAAACTACAAAAATAAAATAAAATAATAAGATAAAATCAACAAATAATAAAAATAATTAAACAAAAGTAGCTAACATCATGATAAAGTGAAAATTTTGAAAAAAAAATTAAGGATGATATCTATCTGTGTCAAAAGTGCATCAAATGTTTGTTAAGGCTAAAAAATAAAACATTTCACTATGTAAAGGCTTCAGCAATATTAATGCATAAAAATTTCCAACAATGGGTTCAATAATCAAACATAGGTCTCAAATTTCTTCTAAATGGGTAGGGGAAGAGAGGAGGCTTGGAGAAAATAATTCTAAATGAGTTAATTGGATTTAGTGAGTTATCCAATAATACCCCTTTATTAAATGGGTATTATTAGGTAACTCCTTTATGCCCATATATAAAAATTTAAAATATCCATATCCATCTATTTATGAGCAGATATGGATGAATTTAGTTAAATGGGCTTGTCAGCCACCTATAGGTGAACATCAAATTTACTCTTCCTCAATAGGGCATGGATAGAGCAAAATAGTTGCAAGCAGTGAGAATGTCCTCTTAATCCTCCATCCACCATGTAAGTCCCGATGCAACCAAATACAACCAAAATACTCAACCAGACAAGTAGTCAAGTAAATACAATGACAAAGAATATAAGCAATTTTAAAGCACAAAAATAGAGTAACAGTAAAGTAAAAGAAATTCAAACCAATCAAACTCCCAAGCTTCTTCCAAACTTGGAGTTGAATCCACCAAATAGTTTCTTCAATTGATGGTAGTGCTAACCAACTTGTACAAGTGAAGGCTCACTCCTTCCTCACCCCAAACATACTTTGGTTGAGCAAAGGAATTTTACTACTCTCCAAGTAAACCCTCAACTAGCTACAATTGAAAGTTACCCATTCAATTAAGAACTATTTTATACAAGTGAGGCAACCTTTATCAAGGTTTTACCACTCCAAGTGATAGGTTCACCTTCACCAAGATTTTACTCCTCCTAGAGAGTAACCTCCACTTGAGCAACCTCACAACCCAACTTTCCCAACCCCTTATATAACCAACAAAGAATATTTCTACTCAAAGATCTTACTTGTAAGCTTGTATTTAGTGTTGGCAAAAAGTTTGTGTTTTCTTGTGCTTTGGGGTATTTATAGAAGGTGAGAAATGGCTCCAAAAGGCTCTCCAACGGTCAAATATTAAATGCTGTCGAAACTAGCCGTTGGCCTGTCGGACGTCCGAACCATTTGCTCTGCATCCGAACCATGCGTCCGAACCACCTATCGGACGTCCGAACCATTTGTTCTGCGTCCGAACCCTGCGTCCGATAGAAGTCAGAATGTTCAACGTTCATTCTTTTTGTGTCGGACGGCCGAAGCAATGAATGAGCGTCCGATCCAAGCGTCCGAAGAGTATCGTTGTCAGTCGGACGACCGATCCTCTATCGAGCGTCCGATCCTCTACGTCCGAACCTTCATATTTCTTAACTTCTCTTTGATTCAAATCTTTTCGATTCTCTTTTGGATCAATGACCTGTTCTAACAAATTTCTCACATAAAAACATTAGTCCAAATCTACATTTTGGTTTGTTAATCATCAAAACCAAGGACTGATCAACCAAGGTCAACACACCAGTTTCTTCACTCTAGTTTGTTCCCTAGCTCAGTTCCATCCTTGGAAAATATATGGTGCAAGAATAGTTAGTTTGAACCAAATCAAACTGGTCTACAAAACTTTTTCAAAAAAATAAATAAACAAATGAAAAGATAAAGAACAAGAAGACAAATGATCTCATTGTATGAAAAAATGAAACCTAAGAACAAAAGCAAGAAATCTTACTTTCAGGGTCTATCCTAAATGAGAAATGATATTGCTAAAAGGATTAAAATCTAGAAAACGAAGACTAAAGTTACTTAGAATGCCTAAACAGGTGTAAATGGAGAAAAGCCATAGCATGTTGGCCTTGTTCTCAGTTGCTTTAGATTTTGTAAAATCTGATTATAGAAACTTTTTCTGTTATTAAAAAAATCCTATAATCAAAATATAAAAGCAACAAGAACTTTTTAAAAGCTGATTATCTATAATTTGAATCTATAACTAGTTAAAATAATAGCACTTGCTGATCATCATGGCTAAACAAGTCTTTAGGGAAAAATATAATAGTACTTGCTGATCTATCCTAGACAAATTTTGTTCTAATGAAACTCATCTCGATATCGATCCAGCAGGGAGATAAACAACCTTTCTAGCTGGCGTTTCCTGCAAGAAAAAAGAAAACATTGTAAAGTTTATCATGAACTAGTTCTTGATTGACGTAAAGAAATACAGAATTGCCAGATTGATACGGTTCAAGTCTTCAACTTCAGCAGATCATAAATTTAATTCTGCTCGATCCCGGTTGGATTTTTTAAGACAAACAGTAAGGCAAGGCAGGTACTGTGCCCTACAAGTGCAAATTATACCAACAATTATCTGATTCAGAGAGCTCACTTGATTATCGCACAGAACATTTTGATTCTTCTCTAAAATTAAAAGCCTAGGCAAAATTAAATTATGTAAAATGCAACTGTATCATAATTATTTCCCAGGTGGTAATTTAAACAATCAATTACCAAGGTACTAAGTTCAAAAAATGTTGAGATCTCTACGGACGCATGGTACTACAGAAGCTAAACAGAAATTCTACAAAACTATTGTGGTTAAATTTCCAGAATCTGACTTCAAAGTCAATCAACATCAGACCTTCATCAAACATGTTCACATCCTTCTCCAAAGGACGAAAGAGTCTTATTTGAGAGGTTCTCTCATCCGCTCCCTTTGGATTGTGGTGGACAGCTTTTTGGTTTTTTATTTCTTTTTCAATAAGTATAACAACTAAATGGTACTTTTACTAACTAGACAATCCATTGAAACAACCAAAAATGTTCGCGCAGGAATCTTGAGTCTTGTATTGCTGAATCCCTTGCCCCCAATACTTCATATTGGTCTCCTAGGCATTTAACCTAAAGCTCCTTGAATCTTTGCACTCTACATCTCCCTCAAGATGTTAACGAAACACCGTATTCACTATCCTACCTCAAATTTAATCATTAATTTGAACTGTGAGCTACCTGTGAAGCCTGTATGTCAAAAACAACAGACAAACTTCAATGGATCTTTCACTGCCACTTAATGCATTTTAACATGAAGTTATCATAGTCATACATTATTCAACATAAAAAATTAGCAGATGATGTGATTAATCAAGGCAGAGCTGGATGGAAGAGAAGTCATATGACTCGTATCTTTTCACCCAATTTATCCCTTGGAACAAGAAGATATGCACGTGCAGAACAACACAACATCTACTTATGAGGTTGGTGCTATGAAGTAGTTAACTGTAAATGACATCTATGGAAATGTCTTCGCACTTTGGCATCAATCCTTACCACTTAGTCCTCTCTACGATGGCTAAAGAATGCTCTTCCATCTTCATGAATATACTAAATCATTTGAAGACCTAACGGCAGAATAAGAATACGTTTCAGTTGATGGAAACAACAATTGTACTGATACTTTACCAGATAATCTAGAAAAGATGGCAACTTTTGTTTTGGTGCAGATAAGTGAGAATATAGTTTTCACATTCAAAGTACTCATCCCTACTTATATTTGTCATCAAACATGAAAAGACTAATAGCGAAATAATAGCATGAAATAAGTAAATGGAATATTCATAATGTTGATTCCAATAAGATACGGTTTAGGATCCAAAAAAGAAGAGGACCAACAAGTTGCAACTAATATGAAGGTTCTTATTATCCTCCATATTTTAGTTTCTCAATATCAGGATCAAGTTTTAGCATCAACTTGAGTATATAAGGGTCGTTAGAATCTAGTAAAATGGCAAAAGTAAATGAATCCAGCGAGAATTTCTTCATGATACACCACCATGTGATCATTTTGACCTGCCCTAAGGAGTCCTTGCAGAATAACATTGAATATCACATTCTTTCCCGAGCAACCATTTTCTTCTGTTTTCTTCAAAAGCTCTTTAGCTTCGATGAGCAGGCCAGCAATCATTACGGTGTATGTTTTGACACTAGGACGCAATCCTTTCACATAGAGACTAGTGAATAGATCCCAAGCACTATCTAGCCTCCCGCTTTTGCACAACTCATCAAGGATGATAGTGTACATTTCCATATAAAGATCTATTCCTTGAGCTTCCATTGAAGGAATAACTGCAATGCTTTGTTTACATGTCCAGTCTTGCATAAGCCATCTAACTCCACATAGTAAGTGTGAAAACTAGGCTTTAGGCTAGCAGCTTGTATCTCACCAAAAACTTCTTTTGCACTAAGATACCTTCCCGCGCCATATAACCCCTGCACGACAGTGGTATAAGTAACAGTATCAGGTGCTAAACCTTTATGTCGAATCTCTTGGAAGAGATTCATGGCTGCTTCCACTTTATTGTTCTTGTAATAGGCATCTATCGGAATAAAATAGCTATGCAAAAGTTCCTCACCAACTCTCCGCAACAAGAGGTAGGTCCTTTTTCATGTCTCACCTTTTTTTTTTTCCTTTTTTTCAAAATTTTCTTGCCCAAATTTTTTTGCCAGAAAATTCTGCCCAATTTTTTGGGTATTATTTGAGTGATGGGTGCAATTATCTCCTCCTTCTGGAATTACTTTAGTTGTGGGTGCAATTACTTGACTTTATCTGGTCGCGACCACTGGTCGTCGACCATGGCAACCAAATCAGATTTGGTCACCATCGCTAGATTTGATCACCATGGTCGGCGACCAGGGGGGAGAGGATGGGGATGGGGGTTGTGGGAGAGGGGTGGGTAAGAAGGAGGAGGGGAAGGGAGGAAAAAGGGGGAGGAAGAAACAGAGGAGAAGGGAGGAGGAAAATGGAGAGGGGAGGAGGGAGAGAGGGGAAGCGGTGATGTGTTAGTGGGGTGGTTGTGAAATTTTTAAAATTTTTAAAAATACTCCACTAAAATTTTAAATTTTAAAAATACTTCAAAATATATTCTCAAAAATACTTTCAAAAATATCACTAAAAACATTTATAGTAAAAGTTTTTCACATATATTGTTACAATAAAATATTTCAAAAACATCTCAAAAAATGGTTAATCTAAACGGAGTCATAGTTATTAAATTCGGCCAGAAACTCAACTCAGAGAGGTGACCGGGTCACTGGTGTGAATTGCATAATAGCTTTATGTACTAATCTTTCCTACACTGTCAGTCTTGAATGAATGACAAATATACAAAATTTGAATTTGAAATTCAATTTTTACACGTGTTATGGATTCAACAATAACAGTGTATAAATTATTAGTATATATAAGATTTACTCTAAGTATATTATATAATATAATAATACATTTTAACTTACAAAAAAATAAATTTTTTAATGTGATAATTCAACTAACGATTTTTTTTCGATTCATCGGTTAAACCGCTAGGTTGTTGATTTGTCAATGAATTTGTTGCCTAATCAATCTAATTGGTGACCTAATTTGATCTTATGATCGGTTCATCGGATTGACGTACTCGACCGTTGGGCTAGGCCAAGTTGTATAACTATGATCTAAACCTGGTCGGGCCTAACTCCAAACCTTGATGGAGCTTGCGCAAGGTCACAAAATTTCTTCCCATTCTTTGTAAGGATAAAATGTAGACTATTTCTGTCAAAGTCAAAGATAAACTTGAATCTACAATTATAGAAGGCATTAAATCAAGGGATAATATCAGAAACCTCCCCTTAGGTTTCTCTTAATATCACCTGATACCCCTAAGGTTTCAAAAATATCACTTACCTCCCTTACTTTAGTTATTTGTGTAACAAAATTTTTAAAAACCCTAAACTACCCTTTCACTTACTAAATAAAAATGTTCCTAAGTTACTTTGTTCACTTCAAGAAAATCATCACTTCAAAAGCAATCTCTTGTAGTACTACTACATCACAATGCTATACCCCATAAAAATATAAATTTGAAAAATAAAAATGATATTTGAAAAGAAATACATTTGTATCAATTTAATTCGATATGCTCAAAATCGATTTCTTATGAATTTACATTTTTTCCACCAACTTCTTTACCCTTGCTCAAACCATTAAATTATACCAATTATTATAAAAAAATCAACTCAAAATAAGCAAATAAATAGTACCTCACTTTATCACAATCACAAAAAGTAAAAGATAAATAAAATTTAATTTATAATATAATATTGCATATTCATCCAAAAAATATGAGGAAGAGAGAATGATGGAAAAAAGAGAAAAAGAAGAAAGATGACTTCCATTTCTTTTTTTTATTTTTGAGCTTCATTTATTTAATATGTTGTAAATTATGTGTTAAGTGAGGGTTAGTATAGTCTTTTTACAATTACCAGGGGAGGTAAGTGATGTTTCTAAAACCTCAAGGGTGCTAAGTGATATTAAGAGAAACCTCAAGGGAGGTTTCTGATATTATCCCTTAAATCAATACTCAAAGTCCAATATACGAATTAAGCCGACAATAGTCACTTCATGTGTAACATTTGGAGTTCTAAAAACCTATATCAGGGATCTCCTAGAGAGCAACACAACCCGCATAGAATTAGCACGAATAAGTCTTGTAGATAGTTTGATGTGTCATCAAAGAGATGCTTCAACTTGTCTAAATTAGAAACTGCAACACTATACCAATCTTTATCTTGTGATAGTAAGCATATCCACTGACAGAGCCTAGAAATTTTTTGTAGGGGGGCCAAATTTTTCTTAATATGCTATGTTCAAAATAATTTCTATCAATTTAAATATATGACATCTAAAAAAATCAAATATTGACTTTAATTATAAATATATATATATATAAACTCTCATAATAAAAACTAAAATTGTAAAAAATTAGGAGGGGCTAACTTTGTCTTATATAGATATTTACACACTATAAATTAAAATTTTCAAAACTTAGGGGAGGCCATGGCCCCCATCAACCCCCCCTAGCTCCGTCATTGAGCATATCACTAAGGCATGACTGGTAAAATCAAACTATATAATCAGAATTGGAAAATCAGTATAAAAATATCATCATATAAAGATGACAATATAATAACCATAGACTTGTTTATACATAAAGGTATGCAAATTAGAGGCTACACTTTCATAGTAAGTGTTAAGGTGAGCAAACACAGTAAAAATATCAATTGCATATACATTCAGCTCAATTTCTTAAACCTTTACTACATTTTTAAATTAATTTTATTTCTTAATAAATTCTTATACTTAACCTTAGCTGCTAGCACTTAATGTTATGCCTCTAAATTCTTACAATGGTAATAGAAGACTACAACTTGTTGCCTTGTCAACCACTAAATATGACTTGCCTAATCAACTTAGAAAAATTTGTTTAATTCAGTAAACTTGAAAAGAAAATTATTAAACACAGAATTAAGCATTTCTAGCCTAGTCCTAACAATAAGCCATGGAACATATGACCATGCAATTGATACTAAACCTATTGATCGAATTCATGTCAATTAATCAATAATCAAAGAAAAGTAATTGTACGAAGGCAAAGCAAATCACGGATTTTATATACCTTTTTCCCACAAGATTTTGGGTAACAGCAGTTTCTAAGGAATTTGCCAAACTATTTGACAAAAAGGAACAGATAAATTAGCAAAATTATATAAGTTACATTCACAACATGAAGTGTCATGGGATTGCTCCAAGATCGTTTGTAGATCATCAGCGAATGAGTCTAGATTTGGTTTGACAATTAGAAACTATAAAAAGGCATTGGCAGCGATATCTGCATTTTGAACTAAGATATAAATGATGGGGTTACAAGTAAGTGATGAAATACTGCTTAATTAATTTAAACATTCCAGGTTTAAATTCTCACAATAGTATTAAATGGCATTGAACCTTTATCTGACTACAAATATGCCAACTTACCTGATAAAAACATGGGTCAGCAGTGCCAGTGGTGTGAACCGGTTTGACTTTCAAATAAGGAACTCTTCGTTTGAATTGCTGTAAAAATGAATTTTCTTTATGTTAATGTCAGAGCAACTTAAGCACTTCATAAACATATTTGAGTTGATGTAAAAACTATGCTATATCTCAACATTTTTTGGTAGAAATGGATATGGGATCATTCCCTAAAATGCTGCATTTCAAACAAAAGACCATACCACATCCGCAACTCCTCCGTTGGGCAGCATGGTTTTCTCAATATTCCTTTGATGTTAAACACATTAAAGGGAAAACTAATCTTGTTGCTGATTTCTTTTCAAGAAAAGAACCTTTGCCTCAACAAGTCTTGCCACCGACAGCTTTACCAGATTCGCAACGCTAAAAAAGAATGGACTGATAAAATGAACTCATCAGAATTTCAAGATTCTCAAATGCCTGAAGATTTCACTCAGACCCAGGATCTTCCAATACACAAAGATCAATCCATAAATACCATCCAGAATGGAAGAGCATTGAAAACAAAAGAAAAAATAAAAGGAGTCATGAAGATTGGATTGAACAAATGAATATCACTGATCCAGATACTACTCCTTCTGATACCCCTGATGAAGACTGCACAATTTGAAGAAACAAGGACCCACAAGGTCCCATGTGTTTACCACTACTCAAACATAGGCCTTATCCTTTATGAAAGGCCAAGTTACTATTTCAAAGGTCAATTAGCTATTCCAATAATCAAGGGTCACTTACCCTTTGGAAGTCATGTCAAGTTGTCTTTTAAAAAGCTTTGAAGAGTCAAGTTGTCTTTTTATGTTTCGAAAGGTTGTTTGCCCTTTCAAACATCTTTAAGTCACTTTGGAACCTATAAATAGATGAGCCTGATCAGTCAGGAAGCATCATCAAATCATCGAAGTTTTATTTAGTTTTTATCAAGTCTTGTATCAAACATCTATCAATAAAATTGCAGGTGTGTTTTCCTTATGACAGGCTAAAACTTTTAGTTTTCTCCCAAGGGAAGGCCAAGAAATCCTTATAGCTGCGTGTTGCTTAGATTATCATAGCCTTGTTATAATTGGCTCTTGTGATAAAAGTCCCTTGAACTTTTGAAAGCCCAGAAGGAGAGAGGCTGTTGTGTTCGGGAATACCTGCACATACATGCTTTAGACCGTAGACTGAGTCCAAGATGTCAAAATGTCATGTTCACAAGAAGCTGCTCCTTATCTCAGAGGCAGTAAGACATAATATGTATATGGAAATTGACATTTAATTTGCTTTATAATCGATTAAAAGAAGCTAGTAACTCCCAAGAAATATATGTATAATGTAGACAATGAAAATTAAGTTGAAGGTGTCAGAATCACGGCAAGAAAATTGGCTTTTTATGACAATAAAAAGTCGTCACTGAAAGCCAAAAAGTCATCATTATATAGATATAATGACATAGATTACCACATGGTTGTCATAGATTCCGATGTCACATAGATGTCATAGGTTCCTGTTCAGAAGAAGATGGTCCTTATTTGAGAGACAACTAGATATGAATGAGCAGTTCCAAGTAAGTGATGAAATAGAGCTTAATGAATTTAACTATTTTGCACTTAAATTCTCGTAAGCAAATAGTATTGAATGACGTTGGATGTTTATCTAACTACACATATGTCAGCTTACCTAGTAAAGGTTTAGGCTAGAAGCTAATCAGCTCAATAATCCAGCAAGAAACGGGTCACAAATGCCAATGATGTGAATAGGTTTGACTTTCAAATAAGGAACTCTTTGTTTAGGTTGCTGTAAATCAACAAAATTAATTTTCTTTATATCAATGTCAAAGAAACTCAAGTACTTCATAACAATAATTGAGTTGATGCAAGAAACTATGCAGAAACACATGCACATGTATAATTTAGACATTACAGACTAAATCCAAGATGTCAAAATGTCCTGCTCACAAGAAGCTGCTCCTTATCTCAAAGGCAATAAGATATGATATGTATAGGAAAATTGAGAGTTAATATGCTTTATAATTGATTAGAAGAATCCAATAACTCTTAAACAACATGTATATAATTCAGACATTGTAGACTAAGCCCAAAGTGTCAAAATGTCCTATTCACAGGAAGTTGCTTTTTATCTTAGAGGCAATAAGACATGATATGTCTGGAAAAATTGAGGTCTAATCTGCCTTATAATTGACTGCATCTATAATGGAGTAAACTTTACAATGGCTTAGGTTACAGGATGCTTTACCAGAGATCAGTAATACACATGGAGTGATTTGTGATTTAGCTTTGTGTAATATGTACAGCCATGTGAACTTTCATAGAATAGTAGAGTTGGAAATTTGGTTGGAAAAGTTTATTTAATATCACATTATCATTGTAAGGAGAAATGTGATTTCAGACGGTAAGCTCCTATGCCTTTTCTGCAGTAGCCATTGCAACTAGTTATAAGCCATGTTTTTAAACTCAGACCAGACCGGCCGGTTCGACCGGTTGAATCGGGAACCGGAGACATGTCCGGTCCGAGTTTGTTCGAAAACTCGGGCGACAAAGACTCGGTCAATACCGGTCAAAGCCCGGGTTTGACCGAAAACTTGGAACAACCGGGAAAACCCGGTTCTTTTTTAGCATCCAATTTCTGCTATTTTTACCCAATTTTTTTCTAACATCCATTTTCTACTATGTTTCTCCCAAAATTTTCAGCACGGATATCGATCCTTGAGTGCAGATTCGACGGCAATAGTAGTGGTATAGTCACATATGGCTATTCTAACACAAATATTGAAAGATCTAAAGTTCAAATTAAAAGAATTTAGAAAAAAAAGAAGAGAAGTTAATAATTTTTCAGACTGTGTCAAGAAATCATTTATAATTGAGCCACGTTTTCTTATGGCAAACCCAGCTTCAGCATTTGACAGAAGAAACTTAATGTGAGTTGACGATTGTCGCCCAACAAAAAAATAGTGTTGATGATTTCATGGGGTAAATAGAAAAAGAAATGCAAAGATACAGAAGTGAAAAAGGGACAAAAGGAAAAAAAAAAAAAGAAAAAGAAACAGAAGGAGGAATGCGTCTGGAGAAGAAAGGACAAGGACGGGATGGAGAGGACGACGACAGCCAACGAGATTATGAGAGAAAAAAAGACGGAAGGAACTAGGGAAATCAGCTTTGGGGTTTCAAAGTTTTGTCAATTTTATGGTTTGACCCCTAGAGTGACAGAAAACTATAAACATGCCTAAAAAATTTTATAATTTATAGCTTCTGCCCTAAATTCTATTATTATTTTTCAAACAAGCCCTCTAATTTAGTTCTAAACTTGTTGAATATGCATTAAATTATATAGATTGCTACTTGACAGTATTACTTTATTTGTATTTTCTTGTAAAATATCTTAGAATCATCAAATATAAATGAATATACCATTCTCAAGATTATTACATTTTTAAAAATTTTACATAGCATATTAATTTTTAAAATTAAATATATTTATAATATCATGATGACGTCACCCGGTTCTTAGATAAGTTCAACCGAGGTCAAACCCATTGACTCCTGACCCCTAACCTCGACCGAGTCATTGTCCGGTCCGAGTTTCAAAACATAGGTTATAAGTACCTGCTTGGCTTTTCAATCAAACTAATTAAACCATAGTGGAAGAAGCAAATGAGCACTTGGATTATGAGAAAACATGAATTTACGCTTACGAGGAGCTCTAATTGCAACAAATGCCAATGCCGTTCTTGCTAAGGAAACAAACGTCGAACCAGAATTATAAATTTTGTTTTCTTTTGGTACATGAGCTGACATGTCCCAAACTTACTATTTCCTACATGTCACACTAAGTAGTATTATTTTCATACATTCACTGGAGAATAGTCAATAAAAGATCTAAATACATGATACTTTAGCTTTAATCTGGTTAAGAGATAACTTTGAGAGTAAAAGGAAGTTTTTCTATAGAGAAAATAACTTGGATTAATTTAGAAGAGCTTGGTATTACTAATCATAATGAAGCAAAAGAAATAAGAGGTTTTGATGAGGATGTCTGTCTCATTGTCCTACGGCAAACGATCAAAGCGAGGGTCACAAAACTACGAACAAATGATCAAACGATCAAATGATCGAAGTGAGGACAGAAGAGAGAAGTGTGTTAGAAAGCCAGTCAACGAGCATGCTCAGGTGGCACAAAACTACGACCAAGCATGCAAGTGATAAGCCCAACATATAAAGGCCCCCCAAATTCAACATATTTATAGTGTAACCGCACCATTTGTTACTATTCATTTGACCATTCGTATATTTAGCATAGTTACGACTAGTTTCGTGCAAGAACTTTTGTAAAAGATCTAAATTAGACAAGATGATAATGTCGATAATGTTGCAATAGTCAATTGAACCCAATGTCAATAATCTGCAATTGCCACTTTAGAGTAAGAAGAATAGTGTGACACTTTTCTTTCTTTCTTTTTTTGCACTATTTGATTCAGCTTCATATCAAGTTCACTACTCCTTCCTTGACTTAATGGTGAATTGGAAAGCTTAGATGATTCACAATTATATATTGCATAGTTCACTGACTAGTTTACATTAGAAACATTTGATTGTTGCAAATTACATATTGCATTCTCTATATCAGAAAAAAAACATTTATAGAATACTTGGTTAGATATGGAACAAAAGTTCGTCCTTATGTTCTATTTGAAAAATAAAATCTTACTAGAAGGAACAAAAGTTGACCATTCTCAATCAAGATCAGTGCCTCTTGGAGTCTTATTACAGTTTGGAAAACAAGTACTACAATGTACTTTCCAACCCTTTTAACAATTTGCAGACACTTTCTAAAATAGAACGTTGATCTTTCCATGCTTGCATTTTTATTCAGATATCAAATATCTTAATTTCACAGTCTATCAAATTTCCTCCGCTTCAAATCTAATAGTATAGATACATCAAAAGCCCATTTCATTCAGCGCCACAACAAACATTCACCAAGACACATCACACAACATCAACCAGCCCTAATACATCTACAAAAAATACAAATATCCTCTACTTTAAATGATAACCTAGCTTCCTCCTACAGACCAGTGCAAGTACTAAATAATATACATACTACGCAAATTACACCCAACAACTAGCATGACTGCAGCACTTTAGTACAACTATAAAAAAAAAATCTAGCTCCTATTTTGAACCAAAATAATCAAAAATAATTATAGGAATTTTGTGTTGACATATGCCTAATCTATTTATAGGATTTTGTGTTTTTCATCAAACTAGCATTAGGTAAAAAAAATCGAGTATTAAGGGATAAATGCTGATTTAGTTTGAGATATCTAAAAGCAAAGGTGCCGTTCTATTTTGAATTGGAACCTCATCGAACCAAACTGTATTTGAATTAGATCGAAATATGAACTGAAAATGGAGAGATTACCGTAGGTAAAAGTTGAGATTTTGGTTCTCAAAGAAAGAACTAGAATAGGATCTGGCAGTTCCTATTCCAATTCAAACTATCTTTTAAAAATAATGATAAGCTAGGAGGCTATTAGATTGTTGCAATGGTTATTAGATAGGCAGTGGGCTTGAATGCTTATGTAATAGTCATTGGACTAGGCTTATCTAATAGTCGTTGCTTCCAATGGTATTGTCTTTTTTTTTTCT